TTTTTAAAGATCGTAAAGTTTAATACATCTATCAAGTAGTGACCTTTCAAATTATTCTAATAACAACTACCTAAGCGATGGAGAGTTCAGTATCGATTAATAAGCGTCATAGCGACCGTGATGTAAACAAATGATTGCACGAAAGTTTCAAGAATTCAAAATAATTCAAAGATTACACGCTAACCATTCGATAAGTAATCATGTAAGCTTAAGATCAAAACAAATAAAGAAATCTAGATGTACTATAGCTTAAATGAATGTAGGTAAGGGCTAAATTTCTACGCGTCTTGACCGAGTAGCGAGTTAAAATATGCATGATTCGTCGGGTAACATGGCCGTAAAATAGTCGAGATATGGATGTAATTGTTTATCAGAGTTCATCAATCTCATCCAAAATGCAAAGACAAGCAGTATTTGGTGTGTAATAGTTATACTGTAGTATTGTAACCAACAAGTGAATAGTTTTGAAAATTATACGACACAACCAGACTTTTCGCCCAAGTTGACTATTGTCCATCACCAAGCGAAGCCAGCATTATCTTTTGTTGATGTTTTCAATAGATTTTTCACCTCGTTTCCTTTTTTAATCTTTTGTTCTCAATTTAATGAATAGAATAGATTACTAAAGAAATTTTCAATTTTGGCAGTACCTTCAGTTTAATAGTTACTAGATAGCAAATGAATATATCAATTAATTACTTTAATTAAAATTCCATGATTGACATTACTTGAATTTTATATATTTTTTTTTATATATTTACACAGAAATTTTGTAAATAGGTCTTTTGTCCTTTATAATAAAAAGTGAAACAGTTTGCAGGTTTTTACTTTGACCTCAGAGGAGGGAGGACTGGTGACTATTACTTTCAAAATCAACATGGCGTTCTTAGTGTTGGGTTGTCATGTTCGTATGGTTGTGGTGGATAATGTACTGTCAAAACTAAAAGGTTTTTCGTTTAACAAAGGAAAAGTAATGGAAGTAATCGTTCGAATAGGGAGTTCTTTACATTTTCATAAAGATTTGTTCCTTTCTTCAAGTAAGAATAGTGATCGTGTTCACAAGCATTTCGATCTAGTTGAAGATATTACGTTAATAATGTCAACGTTCTTGCCACTGGATCTTATTGAAAGTGACATGTGAAAGTGAAATGTTTTATCAGTATTAATTAGTATACAAGTGCGAAATGACTGCTAAGAATTGTGCGAACGGTCCAAAACTTGTGCTAAAAGACTTGTGTGAAAAGTCTGAAAAAGAAAGAAGAAAAAAGAAAAATGTTGCAAATGCGATGTTTTCCACAGTTCATTTTGGAATACGGTTTTCTTCTTTAATTTTGATCAGGTAATTTAATGCTTTTTGTTGTAATGCAGTGCCAGTTACATTACCTGATTTACCACTTTCTTCTTATTCATTATCAGATGAATTGTCCCCTTCCATGGCATAAGCATCCATGTCATCTGCTGACTCAACAGTTTCAGTTAATGACAAGGAATCACTATCCTTATCATGACCTCCAATGTTAAATTCACACCAATTACCTAAAAACAAGAGTCAATTATTACTACTTGCAAAATTGCTATTGATTTACCACTTTTTTCAGAAATTTTGCTAAAATTGTAAAATAGCACACAACTAAAGAAATAATATTTCTTTTTCTAGATCAATTTACTTTTAAATGTTTTCAGTAGCGGATCCAGCGGGGAAGGGGGGGGGGGGGGGGGGGGGGGGTTCTGAGCGCACACTCACTTGCCCTGCTATTTTTTCCCTTCCTTTTTTTCTCTACCCACAATAGGTGGGGAGGGGCCTCGGCTAGATCCCCCAAACGTTTCTGAGCATTAGGGTTTAACATCTGGATGTTAAGTTACTTTATTTAAGGCAGAAAAACACCTAAGTTAAATTTACCTTCACACAAAGTGTAACTTGGATCCGGATTTTTCAGAAATGCATGATGTTTTTCACGTATATGGTGAACGAAGGTGTTCGCTATTTGAAATGTTCTTCGGCATTCTTCTATGCCACACACGATGTTTAAGTCTTCCATAGAATGCCTTGTGTTTAAATGTGTCAGTAAAATACACCGCTGAAGTGACGCAAAACAAATAGCACAATTCCAAACCATGTTTTGGAACTGCAGCTTGAGGAATTTAAGGGCCATTTTGTCTCGATTTCAGTTAAAAGGACCCTGGGAACGAGGTTGGATTTCGGTGCCCGGGATGCCCAAGTTGTGCTCGACATCTATGACGTCCACCCATCAAATGGTGTGGGCAATGACATCCTTCCACGTTGTGAGGTTATTAACTCGTTTTGGCAAATTTTTTGGCTCTCAACAACTCTTAGTCTCTAAAACATCGTTGGGGACTTTCTGAATCAATTTGTCGAGTTCTTGAAGGTCAGTATGGCGATAGTATTGAAGTAATTTATCATTGAAACGTATTGCGGTGCGATGTAAGCTCGTACTTCTTGTGCAACTAAAAGAGACCTGCTGATTAAGCTTATATAATCTTGGCTTAGTGATATCATAAGATGGCTTATCTGTCGTTTTTCTTTTATTTTCTTTCCCAACAGTTTGCTTCGTAGCATATTTGGCACGCAACAAAATCTAGCCAAATTCAGCCTTTTGGAACTGGCCACCAAATTGAAAAAAAAATAGAGAAATAACGGTTTAGAACAGCTAAGTAACAAATAGTTAACAGAGTAAATACCAAAAAAGGCATGGACGTGAAAATTAAAGAAGATATAAACAGATTGCAAATGTACCGACCGCATGTTAAATTTGTGTTGTGCAACCCCTACCCTTACCACCCTATTGTTTTTCTTTTCAACATTTCAGGAATTAGGGGAGAGGGGGGTGGTTGAACTTAGTGTTTCTTACATTACCAGCCTGTGCTTCAGGATCTGTAAATTACTATTTGAAGAATATTCATCGGACAATCTGCTCTTTGCCTATTTTTAGAAAACAAAAAAAGAAATGATGGAGAAACCTTTCTTAAGTTATCAAGGGATGACCTTCCTGATGTTCTATCACAGTTCAAGGATAGAAAAGAGTTATGGGACTGTCTGCAGCAAGTGGTAAGATAATTTGTCCAAATTTTTATTTGCAGGTTCTAAATAATCTGAACTTTCTTTCTGGGACATCGTGCAAAGTGGTTTACAAAAGTTTTATGTCATTGTGGAAAGGTTTCAGCGGTTTAGGGGTGTTTTAGTGGCATAAGACAAGCCACGAACAATGAATTATCACAAGCAACTGTCGACTTTACTGTCAACTGTTAATGTACTATTCCCCCCTTCCCCCTCAAATGCCAGCACCAGTGATATTTGTTGGTTACCTTTCTGTCAATATAAGCTATTTCTCATAGCAGTTTATATTGCTTTTGTTCATTTGGCAATGCAGTGGCTTGAAATCTCCCTTCCAAGAGATGGTGAAGAATTTTTAATGTGAATTCCTCTGTGGAATCATGGTTAATAAAGGAATGGTTCTGAACCCTGCTGAAGTTCTTTGTTGTATGTTTTTGTTGGCTATTCTGGGGGTTGACCTCACTCAAAACTTGGCAAAATGCAAAAGTTGGTGACGTGTGCTCATACTGTACAAGCAGCCGATAGAATCATTGTGATTACATAATTCATGCATAGTCAATGAGCATAAGACAAAGAAGGTGCAAGGTCGAGGACCTGCCAACATAAATCTTAGCCTCTTTGTTTGCTTCTTTGATGTTTGCTGGGCTAAACCATTCCGTCTATCAACTATGCTGGAATAAAGCTTCCATTTCCACCAGCAACCTTTATTATCGCTATTATTTATTGCTATTATTGTGGTTGTCGTTACCATTGTTATTGTTGTTATTAATATTACATTTTATCAGTATTTTAACTTAGAATGTAGAATATAATGCAAACAAAATGTTACTTGCAGGCAGGTTAGAAATGCCACACTTAGTTGACTTCTAAAGAGCACTTTCACATTAAGGGGTAACCCATGCATGTCTTGTTTGACATAGACATTTACAAGGAAACATTTATTATTTATTAATAAATGGCTCTAAGTGTATGATTTTTACCTTTGGTGACTATCATAAATTTTTTTTTTCTGACCACAGGGCTGTCAATAAGATTTTTGATTGCTCTCTATGTTTTTACTGCTAGGGAGAAAATGAGATTGAAGAGTTGCCAGCCTTCCCTACAAGCACTGATACTATGTCCGTGGCTAGTGGTAGTGAAAGTGAAGGGATCAGCATCATTCCAAGTCCCAAAATTAAAAAGGACCCATCAATTGAAGCTAGAAGGACAAAGCAGCAGTCGTCAGTCACAAGCACAATCTTTGAGTAAATCAAGCAACCAATTAGAGTCATTTAAGTTTCCTGTGTCTAGACGTATCCTGTAGAATAGTAAAAAAGGAAAACCTCTTGAAGAAGAAGACAGAAAGCAGTTGATAAGGGATTGTGTGACCTGTTTGAAGGCTGAGTGTGGGGACCATATAACCAAGGAACAGTTCAAGTTAGCAAGTCAGATAATTTGCGACAGAGTGCCAGTGTTAAAGGATGTAAAGCCTCCAGACTGGCCTAAGGATGAGGAGTTCAACTCTTCCGTAAGTGATCTGTATTGTTTTTTCTGGGGATAAAATGATTGTAAAAGGGATTAACAATTATTGTTTAAATCTGTATCCACAATCTTGGTCAGTATATGTGTGGCATTTATGACAGGTTGTGTTTTCCTGAAAGTGTTGTTGCTGGGGTAGAAGTTTAACACTTGGAAATCTTAGAATATTAAGAGTTACTGAGTAAAGAACCAAGCATATCTTTTGACAAGGCCAATAACTAATATAGATTGTTTATATATCACATCCACAGCAAGAAAGTAACTGTTACATAATTTTCTTTAAAAAAAGCATTTCTTTCTCCTTTACAGGAATCCTGAGTTTAACATGAATTGCTGAGTGCATTTCTGCTACATGAGCTAGTAAATAGTTCAGTTCTTGAAATTTCTCACGGTGCTGACAGCCTACACAAAGAACTCTTGAAAGAATTGCAGAAAGCTCAAAAAAAGACATCAATCGGGCAGTGCTGAAAAATTTACAAAAATTGTCATTCTCCTCAAGAAGACATAACATAGAAGAAACGAGTGGCTCAAAGGTCCTAAATCAAATCCTGGAGAAATTTCCGTTCCTCGATAATGAAAGAATTGTGTGATATTTTTTTGTAATTCACTGATTGCTTTCCATTAAAAGAATATGTATGGTTTCTAGAGTAATGTAATTGTGATAAAAAAGCCTTTCCATTTCACACGGTGGCATTAGTTGTAAAAACAATACTTATTCAGTGCACCATAAAATTGTGCAACTAACAAGTTCAAGGCTAGTTCATGACCATTCTGGCAGGAAAAAAAAATGTTTTTGACTGAAGAGTTCAAGCTAAAAAAATGGAATTGGTGAATTTAAGTGTGAAAATGTTCCTAAAAATGTTTATTTCCTAAGCCCTTCTGTAAAGTAGCGTCACAAAGCCTTCATAGGTGCACATTGAGAGAGACACTATTTCCTTATTGTGTAATTTGGCAGCTGTGGAGTGTGCTGGAATTACTTGTTTCACAAGAGCTACCAAAGGAGGATGTCACTGTTGAGAAGTTTTTGGAGCGTTGGCCACAAATTGCAAAATGCTTTCTTGATGAGGAAATTGATCAAGGTATGTACAAAGTAATGTTGGGCTTGCAAAGAACTGACAAGTTCGGTATGTTGAGAGTCGAGTTGCATTCTCTGTAATAGGTTTGATAGGGATGTCTCTAGGCTTTAACAAATTTTCCTGTAATAAGATTAGATCACTGTTTTGTCTTTTTATACCTTGCTTTGGTTTCTGCATGAAAGTGTTGGTTAACATACTGTAGATCAAAAGATAAGGTCTGGGGCTCAGTACCCTTTAATGGGTCAAAAGTGTTTTGAAAGTTTTGTTAGTGACAAGCAAATAAACAATCGCTTGAGTTTGAAACTTCAAAAGTATTTTGATATGCTATTGAATAACTTGTATTTTCCATTCCCTATGCAGGTGACCTATGTTCTGCAGCATTAGAAAAAATGCCTAATGCATTTATTGCAACTGCTGCATTTGTCTCATTCATGCCACTAAGTCTACTTTGTGTAGTCAAACCCTGATATTACATATATAGCATTGTACATGCTAGGATGAGAAAAATATCTACTTTGATATGGCATTGTATTACTGGGCCAGGACTGTGAAAACTGTCAGTGGTAATGACTGTAAATCTTTGGAACTGTGAAATCTAACTAAATCCATGCATTCTCACCTGAAACAGATCAAATATGCTAGATGTTAATTGTCAAGTAACACTTTCTTTCCCAACAGGATGGAAATAGTCCTGACGACTACCTGAAGACATCATCATCTAATTACCCTCAGTTAGTGTGCTACACAGGAAGAGATGGCATCCAGGATCCTACATCCCATCAGTGGTTTGTTGTGGTTGACAAAGAAATTCTTCTGGAGTGTGAATCACACTTGGGCCGTGCTGTGCATTTTGCTTTTAATTTGGAATACCATAGTAGTCATGGAGCCATGTTCAACTTTATTCATGAGCATGTGCTGAGTATTTTACCAAAAAGAAAGTCATATGCTTATAGGAAGCTGGAAAACTCTTTTCTCTCCAAGTTACATTAGTTCTCTCATGTTAGTTCCTTCAGGAAGTTTTAAGAGATAAGTGTTCTGTTTAGATGCTAAGAGACACAAGTAAGTTTATGTGCGGTGTGAAACGGTCTGTGTCGTTATCATCAAATGACCCTCAGTATGCTGCACAGGAAGAGATAGCATCCAGTATATCCTACATCCTATCAGTGGTTTGTTGTGGTTGACAAAGAAATCCTCCTGGAGTGACACTTGTTGCTGTGCATTTTGAATTTTTATTTGAAATACAGTAGTAATCACAGAGCCATGTTCAACTTTATTCATGAGCATGTGCTAGGTATTTTCCCAAAAAGAAAGTTGTGTGCTTACAGGATTAGCTGAAGAACTCTCTTCTCTCCAAGTTACATTAGTTCTCTCCTGTTAGTTCCTATTATTGAAGTTTTAAGAGACTAGTGTTCTGCTTAAATGCTAAGAGACAAGAGTAGATTTATGTGCAGTGTAAAGAGACTTTCTTTACCATACATAATTTAGCACATGTGTTATTACTTTTCTTACTTTTTTATTACTTCCATTTGTAATGAGGTAGCTGTTCACTGAAAAATCCAGTACAGTATTGTGCAAAAGTAATGACAAAATTCGACGAAATTCCTAGCTTTTCGACGAATTCGTGACCGAAACGAAACTTCGACGACATTTCCGCGAATTTTCGAGGCATGTATTGTTTTGAACGACTCGAACTTTCGGCGACATATTCCTTGATGGCGTAAATGCGACTCGAAATTTCGAGCGAAAATTCGTGCTATGTGGCGAATTTTCGGGGCGAAAATTCGTTGTATTGTTCATTCTTCTCAAAAAGATTTGGTTGAATTTGTGGTTAGTTACTTATCTATGTAATACTCCCATAAAAATTTCCCGCTACGATTCCAGTCTCCGCGCGACCTATATTGTTTGCAACCATGGCAATACTCAGTATATTAATTGTGTCGATGCGTTTGGGATCATTTATGTACTCTACTTTTGATAGTCATCATGGCAAAAGTTTCAAATTATTCTAGAAATAGAATCGAGATCCTTCACAAGCAAGGCCTCCACCCAGCTGAAATACGGAAAGCGTTGAAACACGAAGGGTTACTAGTGAGCTTTTCCAGTATTACGCGCATCATTAAAAAGTTGAGTCTTACCGGTTCCGTAGCAAATTTATCTCGATCGGGAAGACCTCAAAAGCTGTCCACGGAAGCAAAAACTTTCGTAGATTAGCAAATGCGCAGGGATGAAAAGCCGACCAGCAATAAGATAAAGAAGAAGCTGGAGAGACATGGAATCTGCGTGAGTGCGTCCACTGTTCGTAGAGCACGCAAACAGCAAGGTTGGACTTTGCAGTGGACCGCCTACTGCCAGCTAATCTGTGACGCAAATAAAGTCAAGCGATTAGAGTTCGCACATCGCGTCCTAGAAAGTGATGACACTTTCAACAACGTGATTTTTAGCGACGAGTGTTCGATTTCCCTTCAGGCGTATCGCCGCACTTGCTTTAGAATGGTAAATGAGCCCACAAAGTGAAAGCTGAAACCTAAGCACCCAATCAAAGTGCATGTTTGGGGAGGGATTAGCAGAAGTGGTGCCACGAAGATTTGCATCTTTGATGGCATCATGGATGCTGATTTGTTTTGCAGCATTTTAGAGACGACACTGGTTCCTTTTATCAGCGAAAAGCTCCCCGACCATCATTTCAAGCAGGACAATGATCCTAAGCACACATCCAGACAAGCACAAGCCTTCTTTGAAGAGCACGAAATCAACTGGTGGCGTACTCCCCCGGAGAGTCCTGACCTTAACCGAATTAAAAACTTGTGGCATTGGATCAAGTTGTACTTGGAGTCCAAGGTCAAG